ATATATATATAAAATACAGAATAGTATACTCCCTTTAAAGTGATACTGCGTTTACAAAAATCCATAAATTATATTGTAGGACATTTCTAAATACCCTGTGAAGCTTTTCCTGTTTCTCATGTCAGGGGCAGCAGCGCTGTAAATGGCCCTCACTGGGGTTTATGATAGGATGATGTCATTGTATAGAAGGGCGAGTTGGCCAATGAAAGGCCTTCCTGGGCTCTGACAACCCCACAGCCCACTCCAATGGCGATCCTCAGACTACAAATCGCAGCAGACCTTTTCTGTTTTTACGTCGAAGCTCTGAGAAAACATAGAATACGGGAAAGGGGCAATCATTTATTCACGGCCCTGGTGCGCTGTTTCCTTCTTGTAAATTAATTTGAGTTTTGACATGAAACATTTTCCCTTCCCGTGTCCTCTGGTACATTCCAAACCCTGAACACGAAGTTCATATATCTGCAGTTGTGATTTATCTCTCCCCTGTAAACGCACGCCATTGGTCATGTTGGCTTCGCAGACGTCCGACCACCTGAACATCTGTGCGAACAACGCGGCAGGAATGTTACAGCTGACGTCACCGTCCCACCACAACAATGTTGACCGATGTCATCGCTTGTGTTTCCTCGTACAGGCTGAACCTGGACCCCGAGTGTACGGGTACGGACGACCGGCTCTGGGAGGCCCTGGAAATTGCTCAGCTGAAGAACCTTGTGAAGTCTCTGCCAGGAGGCCTAGGTATGTGTAAGGCCGCAGCTGGGGGAGACGTGTCATGTGCGCTCCGGCCCGCGCTGTTTACCTTTTAAAGAAATGCTTGAGGACGAGGAACAGGCTCCCTGCGTATATCTGCGAGCAATCGATAGTGGAGAGCCGTGTTTGTACAATGCATTGTCACTGCGTCTGCTGTATAACAGCGGGCCTAGTACACATACGGGAGAGAATACAGAGACACCACATGTAATAAATGGACCCGGGAGACCGTCATGTGACCGTAGCAAGACACGCCCACTTTTGAGGTGGAACTCTTGCTAACACTTTATTTGGAAAAAATGTAGCAATTTATTAAACGAATAGGAGATGCATGGAAACATCTATCAGTCTATATATGGTGAGAAGACCTACAGTAAGAGCCTGTTCACACCACAGTCTTGGGTTTAGCGCATTGCACAATGCACCTAGTGTGTGTTACTATGTGCTTAGATGCATTGTTTTGCCATTCATTGAATGGTACCCCAGCACACCTCCCTAGACTTGCCACCTTTTCTTCAAGCGAAACCCGAACACTCTAGCGACGCACGGACATTTTTTAGGGAGAATGAGTCGCAGTTTATTCATGCAAATTAATTCATGTAAATAGCGCCACCAGTGGCGTCATAAGGGGGGTGCGGCCCGCACCCGGGTGCCAACATTGGAGGGGTGACACCAAAATGACAGTCATTTTGGTGTCACCCCTTATGAAAAGTCGGGCACTCGGTCATGGACCGAGAGCCCAACAGTGTCAGGAGAGAGGAGTGGAGGGGACCCGGCAGCATACCTCATCCCGCCGGGTGATTGCCCCCTCCTCTCTCTCAATAAGACGACTGCGCACGCACGATTACATAATCACGCACGCGTGGCAACGTCACGTGCATGCGTGATGACGTCACGGCGGTGGTGTCAACCGGGTCTCCGCCCGCGGGTGACACCCAGCCTCGGGAAGCCCCTGAGCGCCACCCATTCAAATGTAAATATCACAGTTGAGACTATTTTCAGTGGGGGGCCAGTAGCCCCTATCTTAAGTTTGGTTGCCCCTGTCTGCCTGACATCATGTGTCTGGGTTTCTGCTGGCAAAAAACCCGGACACATCATTCATGGACTGTCCGGGTGAATCCTGGACAGGTGGCAACCCTACACCTCACGGTGGCCGCTCGTTCCAGGGCAGCACAGCGGGCGGTACAGCAATGCCTTTGCCTTGCATTACAGTGGGGAAAAAAATAGTGCATGCTCATATTACATGTGCCTTAAATGTATTTGACACATGTTATTTACCTGTTAAAGCCTCCCATGTGTAGACATCCAAAAGCCCTGAGACTCCTGCTGGGCGCCGCCATCTTGGATGTGATGTCAGCATCCGCAGCAGACTCAGAAATCTCACTCAAGTGACACTGTATTCCACTTCACTCCTCCTTACATAGAAGAGCTTTCACTCCAGTTCCCCTTTGCTCCCCACCCAGTAGCTACATTAAAGGTTATGTAGAGTGATGAGGGGAGGGGCGGAGGAGCTGGGCCAGTCCAGACAGAGTCATTAGGCACTCCCAGAAGAGGAAAGGAGTGGGAGGGGGCTGTGCTAGGGAATTGACTCTTCCTGAAGTAGTCAATCCCCTAGCACAGATCCCTCCTTCCTTGCAGGTCATAGCTAGTGCAAGTTCAGAGACACATTACATAATGAATAAATAATTTATGGAAAGGAAAACACTGCAAGTGAGTCTTTACATACCTAATTGTGCCTGTACTTGAAATTTTTGAAGATGACAGGGTCTCTTTAAATGAGATGTAAGCCCTACCTGAATCATTGTTAGTTTGCTCCATGCACCGTACATCAGAAACAATTGTGATTTTCTAAATTGTGTACTTGTTTTCACCTTTTTTTCCCTCCATTTTTGTTCCATTTCATTGATGCTGATCTCCTGCAGCCTCTTTCAAGCCACTTCCTGTCTAAGTGCACTACAGAGATGGCTGCATGGCATTTCTCAGGGTGGATTTCCCGATCCTGACAACAGACAGGAACAGAGCGTTGTCACCTTTATAACAGGAAGTACCTGAATTAGGACCTTTAGACCTTTAGGCCTCGTTCACACTATCCTTATCGCGTTCCGGCCCGATTGTGGCCGAAACACACTGGATTGCATTGCGGCCGGCTCAGTTTGTTACGGGGCAGGAGGGGGCGTGGCGGTGCAGTCAAGTGAAAGGCACCACAGCCACGCCCTATGGCTGCAATGCGATCGGCCGCACTTGAACGCTAGGCACATCAATGCTTGCGGTCCAGTTCAGTCAGAAAAAATGCTGCAAGCGCTTTTTTTTCTGACTGGACCGGAAAGCAGGCATTGATGTGGCATGTGTTCCCGTGCCGCCAAACGCATTGCGGCCGGAGGGTGTGGCTGCGGTGCCTTTCACTTCACTGCACCGCCACGCCCCCTCCCGCCCCACATCAAACTGAGCCGGCTGCAACGTGATCCAGTGCGTTCCAGGCCACAATCAGGCCGGAACGCACTGAGGATGGTGTGAACGAGGCCTTATGGCAGCATAGACAGGGATTATTTTAAGGAAAGCTGCAGAATGAAGGGAATTTAAATTGACATTTGTGATATCATGAAGAAGGTTAAAGTTGATGTGGTTTTAGTGATCGGGATTACAATATTTCCATGCGTCTCCCTTCTTTGCCTCTTTAATTTACAACATTTGGAAATGAGAAGCTGTGAGTGCAAAAAGTTTCTAAAACAAGACCTGTGAAAACACGGGCGACCAAAAAACATAAAATGGGATTGCGCCACCCAGAGGACGGTCGGTCCCCCTCCGCTGATTCACGGCGGCAGGAATGGATGTTGGGAAGCCTCGTGAACTGGCAGAGCTCGCTGTTGGACTGGTTCACCTTAGTTGCACTACGGGAGAATAAGCAGCTGTACAAAAAGGCGAATCTGTCACAATCCGGAATTCCAGGAAAAATACAACAACACAAATGTGACCTCTTTATACTGCAAGCATTGTGGGATCAGATCCCGGGAACAGGGCAAAGGTCACAGTACAGTTCTTGTCCTGAGATAGCCAGGTGGACGGCATACTCAGAAGGAGGTCAGCAATGACATCTTGTGGGTTCTCTGCAGTTCCGGAATCAGGAGATTCCACTGCATGCGTTCTACAAACATCAACTTATTATTATCGATACATTCTGTAATAATAACATCTAACAGTTCAAAAATACATGACACTTATATACACAGAGACTTCGGGGGCATTGCCGGGGATTTAACATTGTTTTCTTTCTTTCTTTCTTTCTTTCTATCTCTCTCTCTCTTTCTTTCTTTTTCTCTTTCTTTCTCTCCCGCTCTCTGTCCCTTTCTCTCTCACTCTCTCTCTGTCCCTTTCTTTCTTTCTCTCTCTTTCTTTTTCTCTCTCTCTTTCTATCTCTTTCTTTCTTTCTTTCGCTCTCTCTTTCTTTCTTTCTCTCCCTCTCTCTTTCCCCTTTCTCTCTCCCACTCTCTCTGTCCCTTTATTTCTCTCTCTCTCTCTCACTCTCCCCTTTCTCCCCCTCTCTCCCCTTTCTTTCTTTCGCTCTCTCCCCCTTTCTTTCTTTCTTTCTTTCTTTCTTTCTTTCTTTCTTTCCTTCTATCTATCTGTCTATCTATCTATCTATCTATCTATCTATCTATCTATCTATCTATCTATCTATCTATCTATCATTTATCTATCCCTATATTTACTTTTCCATACATCCTGTTGAATATTTAGTGACTTGCAGATAAATAAAGATAACAAGCATGAAGCTATAAATGTGTAGATTTCCATGTGTAAATGACAATCTTTTGTAATCTGCTAACTTGACTTATTTCCAGGCCCCAGTTTGGTTAAACATTAAAGTAGATGTAAGCACAAAATTAAAGAACGCTGATGATCCTGCCATGAGGGTCCTTGTTAGGGCACTTCTTGTTATAGGGTGACAACACTCTGTTCCTGTCACCCAGTTGTGCTCCTGTGTTGTCACCCTCTCACATACACCCGTGGTGAAGACTACAGAAGGCTGTGCTGGCCCACATTGCACAGGTCTAGTCCACCATTGTCATTGCCAGGAAGTCAATCCAGTATAATGTGCAGCAACAATGGGGGAGTGCATGAAGGAAGGAAGAGGCTGGAGGAGATCAGCAGCACTGAAATGGGGAAAAGGATGAAAAATTACAATTGCGATACACAGTGCAAAGAGCAAACTAAATGTCATCCAGATAGGGGTTACATATATTTTGGGCATACTAGAAAACAGATAAAATGATTGGTAGATATTAGATATATGAGGGGGAATTGTGCAGATGATTCACATTAGCCATTTTCATGTTCCGTTTTATATATATATTTATCAGTGACTGATACCCGTAGTTCATCACCTTAAAATATTTAATGGAAACT